CTCTGGAAGCCTTAAAGGCTAAACTCATTAGCTATTCATTACTGAAGAAGTTGGGATCTCCTGATACCACCAATTAATTCAGGCATATTGTTAGTAGTGGAAAGTGCTGGTAAATAATAATTTTTTTTTTGCCCAAGCATTAATGACCTACTTACAGTGTGTTTCCACTGGATGTAGGTCTGCTCCAGCATCGGCACGGGATCCGAGCACTTTTCCAAGGCTTTGCCTTCCCTCCTGCCCTTCTCTCCTGCCCATCACTCACTGGGACAGCTCGAGAGCTGGTGGGGGCTGATTTCTGTAACCACCACAGATGACCCTTTTTATGTTGTGTCACCGTCTTAGGAGGTGTTCCCACTGCCCAGCAATGGTTTGCTCACAAGCCTTGCCAGCTGGTTGTGCTTGGTCCTGTGCTGCTCTGGAGCTGCCGTGCCCATCACCTGCTGCAGAACAAGAGCCCCAGCACCAAGCAGTTTTCTCACAAGGACAACGATGTAAGTAACACGTGCAGTCAGCACAAAACCACAGGCAGTATGTGGAGCTGTTCATGTTTTTTTTTTTCAAAATTGGGCATTGACAGCACAACGTGCCTGTTTCAATGACAGCTCTTGGCTGTGGTGCAGCAAGTAGGTATGGATTCTAATACATGCCATGAGGAATACTTGCTGCTGTCTCTAGGATTTGAAACATCTGTCCCTCACTGCCGTCCCCAGGTGGGGATGAATGCGTTTCCCTCCTCCTCCACGGCTCCCAGCAGTAGGTGCAGGTGACCCAGCAAACCAAGTGACGGTGGCTGGGTGGAAGCCCCTGCTCCTGCAGGCAGACATCTGCTGATAGCTTGAACCAGGTCTGAGGAACGTCACACCCAGGTATAAAGCTCCAGTTTAGAATAGAGACAATCCCCTTTCCAAAAGGGATCTCGATGTCACAACTGTCTGGGGGGAACAGTCATGGAGAGGAAAGGGAAGCACTGATAGTCTGAGAGGCAGAAAGCTCTCCGATTGTCGGAGACAATTAAGAGGGCAGAAGCAATCTCCACTGTCAAGTGACTGAGAGACAGTTCCAGGCTGAGTACTCCTTGGAAATTTGAGACCTAATTAAAGCAGGCCTTGGATCTCATCATTCTTCCTGCACACCAGGGACCATGAAATACTGACTTGCGCATCTGCTCTGTATGTGTATTTGATGCAAATAAGAAAGAAGTCTGTAAATACATCAAAATCCATACTTTATTTTATGTATAGCAATACAATTTACATATTAAATAACACTATAATAGAATGATTTGATATAGTTTTAAACATAACAAAAAGAAGATTCTTCAAGTTACAAAAAAACCCCAAACAAAAAAACCAAACCAAACCAAACCAAAAATCTCCCTCAAAATCCTCCCTCCCACCCTGTCCCAAAGCCAAACACCACATTTTTTTTTTGTCTGAATGGATCAATGAGACAAACGTATCCAGTGACTGGCTAAGTCTAATTCCTATTGCACACACTGACAATGGAATAAAATGATAAAAAAAAGAATCTAACCTTCACAATCACTGCCCCAAAGAAATGACGGGTGGAAATCTTTTGGAGTGTGATGATGGTGTCTCACTACCTTGATACACAGAAGGTATGGATTCACATAGCCACCACAGAACTAGGAAGGAGGTGAAACTAGAAAAAAATTAGCTTTATATGAAAATATAAAATTCTATGATTATATACCATAGATACAAAGTTCCCAGAAGATGCTTATCCAAGCAACAAAATATTTACAGTTTTAATGGTTTCGCTATTTAAAAATGAAGGAAAAGAAAATAAGAGTACACGTGAATGCTTGGGTCTTTAGAAACAATGGCTGCTTGCTCATTTCAAATGTTCGAACACAACAAAGAGGTCACTACCCCAAATGTTGGAGAGCTGTGACATTGTATAAAATTGAGTATCTCCTCTTTTGGAGACATGTTTATTCTTAAAACTCAAGACTTTTTTCTTGAAATTAATTATCCTCTGTAGAAAATGCTTCCCTTTGCAAATAGTTAACAAAAACACTAAAAACAGTTTAACAGCTACAACAAAGTAGAGGCCAAATCTCTTCATTACAGTTCCTTCTCTTTCTCTATTTTTGCATTCCTTCTCCTTTGATAAGCAAAGCCAATGTTGTTAAAATTGTTAGAACGGCATCAAAGAGAAGAAAAGCAACGGGGTAACAGTAAAAGCTGAATTATGTTTGTCAGAAAAAATAAAAAAACAGAGAAAAGAGCAGCAATGCAGTGGATTAATAAATAGGCATTTTCCCTTCATATAAAAATTCACTGGCACCATTTGAGCACAAACGTCAGAACACCGGATTTGATACCGAAAAACATGAATTTGAGAAAGACTTAAATCTGTAAGACAACTACTTTTTATTATTATTTCTTAATTAAGTTGGTTTTGTTTTGCTGAGAATTAGTAGTATGTATCTTTGGTAGAATCAATATCTATATTTATAGCTTTTAAATAAAATATATCAGCTTAAAAAAAGGTTAAGAAGAAGGCAGTTGTGCTGTTTCATAAAGAGTCTTCTCCTAGTGTTCCAAGACATCACTCTGGGTTCAAGCAATTCAAGCAGTCAGAAATTGGAAAAACAACCGAAGCAAAGCAGATCCTGTCAATGATTCCACTAACCTTGAACAGACCCACGGTGCAGAAGACTGCACACAGGAAGGAGGATAAAGGTTTGGGATGTTTTTATCCCGCTCCTAAATTCATATTTGGGAACAGACACTGTGAAACAGTAAGGACAAATGCTGCGTTAAAGCGAAAGCTCTTCCCACCTTGGTCTTGCTGAAGAGCCAGCACTGCAGCCTGCACACCTGGGCAGTCCCACTGCCTCCCCCACACCTTCCTAGCAGAGCTGGGATCACCACGTACAGGAGCACCACTGGTTTTAGATGTTGTGATGACACTTTCCCTCTTGGAAAGCTTGGCTATAATGATGGGCTCAACTCACAGCTGTTTATGCCTTTCACATGGTCTGCAGGTGCACAGCCATGCAAGACACAAAGGAGTAATATTTTACAGATGTAGACACGCATGCACGCGCGCGTTGCGGCTGCTGAGGATCACATCTTACAGCACAGGGACAGACCTGGGCTCCCCTAACTTGCAGACATGCACAATGGGAACTTTTGCTGCTTGAAAAGCATCCTAACTGAATGCCAAGTAGGGGTTACAGCGTGGGGGCTGGCATTGCATAGTGATGGCCAGATAGGCACGTGAGAGCATCCTAGTAGAGCTCCATGCCTGTGAATGCTTGCTTGGTCCTTCTGCCAGCCTCCTCTAGTCCCATGGGAAGAGGTGCACGTCCATGGAGGAGAGCACAGCTGCATCTGCTTGCAGCAGAATGGGTTTGGCTCTTATGTGCTCCTAATCCCAACCTTCTTCCACTTCAAGCCTAATGCATCACTACCTTCTATTGACTATCTGACTGTTAACACAGTTCTTAACATACAACTTAATCCCCCTTAAGAAAAAAATCTATGGAGAAGTCATATAGCATCACTGTAAATTATTTCCCCGTGGACTAAGCCCCAAGTACTGCAGGTGTGGGAAAACGCCAATGCAAACACACGGATTTCCAAAGCATCTACCAAAGTTCAACCCCACAGCCTTCTTTCACTGATTTTTAAAGCCTGTGTGAAGAGATTAAACCAAGGATATTCAGGCAGTGCGTCACGAACCAGTTACCTTCCATCATGAAAAGTATTCAGCTAAGGGTACTGCACAAATGCAACTCTCCTGATGCCTTCAGTAATCTCTGCATCATTCTGCTCTGTCAGGCTTTGAATTCCTTCCTTCTCCCTACAGCTCTCCCTGGGTACTTGAACACTCAAGGCTGAACTGATCAAAACCATCCCCAGGGCTGGGATCGTTCTGGGGTGTGGGGGTTCAGCAGCCACATCTCCAGCCTCCAGCCTGAGCTCCTACCATGCAGCACTGCCTCGCTCTGGTGCTGGCACATCCCAGGGCAAAGGGGAAGCAAACTACAATGCAATGCATCCTTTTGAAAAGTTTTGCACAGTTTTTATTTGGACTAGCTGGTGCTGGACATGGGATTTCCTCAAGGAAACCGTGGATGTATCACACTGTTCAGCATTAGCAGTTATGTGGAGCACTTGTACTGAGGGATTCCACAAACTGGTGAGAAAAGGGTAACCATGCAAAACGTTGCTGGTGAACTCTTAAATATTTTGGTGTGGGAATTAATCAAGTCTATCCATAGAAGGAAGTCTTTCTGTTAAAAATAAAAGGCCAGATGTTAGCACATCCCAGTCTGTACAGCTCTCTGCTCCCAGTGGGGCTGCATCACTCTGTACCTCAAGAGGTTCCAAACTCACAGACCTACTCTCCATAGAAATGTCACTTTCAGCTTCCTTCTGCATGGAACATCTACGGAACCTTTGCCTTAGCTAACCTTCCTCTTTGCCCTCCCCTCCAACACAAGAAGAGGATTTTGCCTCGCCATGTGTCTGTTCTAGCAGGCCCCAGCTGGCAGAAAGTTTTACACTGAAAAGAAAAATACACTGCAATATTTTTGACAAGTCCCAGAAATACAATGCATGCTCTGTGCAGTTGGAATCGAAAAGAAATTAACGCCATATGTAAAGATGGTGCCTGTGATTGTATACCAAACATCAGGATGCCTGAAACAACATATTTCACTCTCGAGGCAGATTCCATAACCCCTCTCTGTTCGGCAGAGCTATGAAGGAAATGATCAGCTTTATCTCTGGAGAATTAAGTATGTGCTTACTTCTTCTGTTAAATAAAGATGAACGGTGTTGAATCGCAATGAAATGCAAAAGAAAAGGGAGCCAATGAGAATGTATACTTAGATGCTCCAAACAATAATTCAAATGATTTATATAATCTGGGAAAAACCAGTTCATTGGTGTGGGAGGGAAAACACAATAAACTAGGGTTGTGCTAAAGAATTAGTCTGGCAAAAAAAAGAGGGAGAATGTAACTTTATAGGTAGTTTTTTTTATTAGTTTGCTTCACCAGTAAATATGGATCAGTACTTTATGTTTTAGCACTAAAGTATGAAAATTACACACCTGTAAAAATGGCATCTAACAGTTATGAAATTAAGAAACGCCTGTCATCATGTAACATACCATTAGGTGTGAGGTCATATTCAAGAAATAGTAAGGAAATTAATGTGTTTAAAATATTGAATAGCTTAGTAATGTAAAATATTGCTACCTTCAATATATCTGAAAACAGGTCTGACCTGGGGCTGTAGGAGATTTCTTACTGCATCGGCTTTGATGAAAATCAAACCAAAATATTTTCCCATCGCAGGGCTGGCTAAAAGCAAAAACTGACATTTTTCTGCATAAATGGAGAAACTTTGAGATTGTAAAATCAAAACCTGTCACTGCGTCCCACACATGAATTGCATCTAATTCATAATTATATTGTAGGTGATTTTCTATTCCATGTGAAGCAAGTCTTAGGTCTGTAAGCGTACAAAACAGTAACGTGAAACAATACAGAAATAATTGTTTCTGCTCCACAAGGCCATTACACCTTCACTGTAGCTAATAATCACCTGCCACATTTTGTCAAGAAGGATGAACGCTGCTCATCCACTCCACTGGAATGCAGAATACCGTTACCAAAGTTGTGACATGATAATTAAAATAATAAATATGGAATGAAGGGGTACAGTATCTGTTGTAGAAAGAATCCATCTGGCCTAGCATTCAAGATTGAAAATTCAAGGGTCACTGTAGTTTAGCAAAACTTCACTGCATTTAAACAAAACAGAAAAAGCATGTTTGTTGTCATGGAATGTCACATCAGGGCTTGTTTTGTATTAGAAGATTATAGGCAGTAACACTGATCATATAGTGCAAACTAGATAAAATTGCGTTTCACTGCGTGAAATAAACAGAGGTGCAAATGCTCAGTAGGATACCATTAAGACATAAAATGGCAAAAAATAAATATCAAAACTTTTATCAGTGTAAAAAAGTAATTGGGTTATTGTATAACCTAGAGTCTGGCAAAAAAGGCCTCAAAAAAGTTCGCTCAGTCTTCAGAAGTTCTACAAATTAAGTGCCTTTTCAGGTTTCCAATTAGACAAGAGACTCCATGCTTTCTGCGGGATCCGATTCATCACTGGCCATCACAGCACCGTTTTTGTCCAGTGTCATGGGACCATTTCCATTCTCCTTAGTGCTGACCAAGCTCAGCATTGCCTTGTAAAGAAACTGGTACTGCTCCTGGAAAAGAAAGACAAGTTACCTCAATGCCTTCATTGCATGAAGGTGAGCGGCACTGACGTGTGGCATTTTAAGGAAGGTGATGGATATTTGTTACTAGAAGCATACGTACATCACAGAAAAATACTTTGAGAGTGAGTGCGTGTGTTAATCCAGCTTAACATTATCAGCCCAACATCCTAATTGTGAGCATTTTATATTATTGCTGATCTGCTGCCCACTGAAGAGAAGTCTTTCTGTTGACATTATAAGGAAACTGCAGGAGAAACAGAATAATGCAAAAACACCACTGTGTCATTACTAATTTCCCAGCAAGAAGGACATTTGTCCAGTTGCCCTGTTTTCCTCTTTATTCCATCAGCATTGTTGATTTTAAACAGTAATGTACAATTGATGCCCATTATATGATTTCATATGATGAATTCAGTGCATCGTTTCATTGATAATTGTTCCACATTCAGCTATTTCAAATACATAACCGTGTTAAATCAGTGGTGGGCTTCAATTCAAGAGAAGGCAGCAGAAGCTGTGGGGTTTGGAAATGCACACAACGTGCGTTTCAGTTCATGCTTGTGGTCTCAGATGAAAATCTCATAAACTCTCCATTTATATTCTATTTAGGGACTTACGATGTCTGTAAATACTCCGGGCCGCATAAGATTTATCATCTTTGCCACCTGGAAAACATCAACAGCATTTTCATTCTCCAGCTGCTGGGACAGAGTGGTAAGGGCACATAGCGTTCCTGCTGACACAGCTCCATACCTGAAAAACCACAGCAACGGGATAAGATACTCAGAAACACACCTGGGCACCCCGACACGGAGCCACGAACATGTTGACATGGACTTCATTTGATTACTGTAGTTCAACTTCTTTATACTTCTGCTTTATACTGGGTTATTTTTGGTCATTTCAACAACAACAACAACAACAACAACAACAACAAAAAAGTGATGGCACCCCATTCATCTCAGGATATCTGCACTACTCAGTATGAAGAACTGTATCAGCAGAAGGATGTGAGCCTTTTAAACATACCCAGCTTGCAGGGTGTAACAGTGAAATCAGTTCTCACCTGCCACAGGTACTGAAAGCATCCGCATTACAGCTGAGCTTATTTTAAGTACCTCAGTGGGAGCTCAAGCAAAACATAAATGATTAAAAGAAATGAGACCTGTCTGTTCCTCTGCATCTGATAATGAAATACAACGAACATGGATACGAGGTGCTCACAAGTAAGTGGGGCAGCACCTCGCAGTCTTCCTAAGGTCTGATTCCTAAGCGAAACGCAACACTCCCGAGTTGGGCACCCAAGAGACATTGCAGATCCTGGTAAGTTGAGCTGGGCTGTCACTTAGGAAGAACCTGAGCGATGCCTGTTTGTCAGGGGAAGGACTGTGTGTCCTCGACATAACTGGCCACACAGAAATCTTACTGCTGCTAAATCTGCGGTATGCTGGAGTCACACGTGCCTTTGTGGGGCAGGGGACAAAGGATCCTAAGCAGCAGGAGCCCATAATTGCTTCTGAGGAGCTGCAGCTGAACTCTGCTCTCTCATTACTCAGGAGATTGAAACTCTGTCCCAGTTTTGTGACTTTGAGGAAGTCGGTATCTAAACACCCTGACCTGCAAAGGGGGACGTTGGTGCTGACTTACTCCATAAGCTGTTTGGAGAACTGTACATAAAAACTTAAATAATCAGCGAGAGCTGCAATGCCATCTGGTACAATAAGATTACCACTAGGATTTTTTTACAGCACTCCTGTGGAAATCGAGACATATGCTGACTTAATTTCATATGATTTTTGGAAACTCAATTTGCCTGGGAATTGGAAACAGAAATCAGATCACAATAGACCTGCTATATTTGATGAAAAATCTATGGAAGAAGCAGGGCACCTGCAGGAACACTGGGCACAGGGGCCTTTGTGCGTGCCATGGGTGGAACACAACAAAATGCCTCTTGGGCCTAACGGCCTCATTTCCACTGGGGTTCATTGCCACCACCTCCCAGCAAGCCGAATGCTCAATGCTCTGAAAGTTATGCAACTTTCAGACTTCATGTAGTTGCTTGCACATGGGCAGTTACATTTAACGTTCTTGGCAGCAGTCTCCAGGTGGAATTTTAGAACTACTTTGAAATGTTGTTATCAAGTTCATCCCACCGTGTACTTCCTAAATACCACGTGCATTTAGCATCTGAAAATTCATATATTTGGAATTAATCCGCAGTTGTAATTATTAGTGGATTATGTGATATAGTAGCTGCATGTAGTAAAGGGAAATTTTCATTTTCAGCTACATTTGCTTTGGCTCCAGTGAAAAGCAGGATCCAAATTATGTATTAGGCATAAAAATAAAATCATTGAATATGACAAATAAACCAAAAAAGCAATTTACAGAAAGAATGACTCAGCACTGCTAGAAATGAGATTCTGATTTTTTTCTTTAGGTCTAATATGAATACCCAAATCAATAATGGTTCTAATTTTGTAAAACATAATCTTAAGTACTGCAAGAGCAGCAAAACCTCACTTCAGACTACCCAAAGCATGAATATTAAAACTAGCCTGGAATTAATAAGTGCCGGCAAAAGCCAGCAGAGCTCACACCATGCGGCAGCAAGGCAGGAAACGGTGGGAGGAAAACTACTTCCTTCAGCCCAAGGCACCATTTGCAGGAACCTTTTGGGAAAAACTCTGATATGAAGGGAGAGCTCTTGCAGCAGCAGCAGGTCGGAGCACGCAACCACACAAAGCTGATCCCAACACTGGAATGGCAGAGTGCACCAGTAACACTGTTACACAAAAGGCAAAGATTTCTAAAGACTTCCATTAACTCTGTCTGGTAGCAATGGCAAAAGGCCTGACAGACCCCAGGGCAGGGGCTTGAGGGCTAGCAGTCATTTACACTGCCTTGGTGTCTGCTCAAAGGAGAACCCAAGCGGTGTCAGAAATTGGGCTGCCTTGGGATTTTAATGGCGGAGTGACTCCTGAAAGCACTCTGCCCACCACGAAACAGCTTCTTCCAAAGACAGTCCTGTTAGACTCCGGCTCTGGCTTCACAGCAACAGTATTTTGCAGCTCCATAATGAATGCAAATCAATAATATGCAACGCAGTATTTAGCATCTTTTATAACTGGGCATTCAAGCATAGCTGGCAAGACAATGCCTACCATTACACTACAAAAGAGACAAGTGTTGGGACATGCTGGCCCTGTGTTAACGGGCTCCCTCCCACTTGGCACCATATGGCCCCTCGGGATGTTTTGGGAAAGAAGAAAGAAGGGAAAGAAAATTGCTCTCAGAAAACTTTAAAATCCTTGTGGCAAGATACTGCTGCTCATCCCGAGACACAGCCAAGCTGAGCCTGTTCTGTGTCTTACCTGCATGTTAAACACGAGTTGTCAGACATGAGCTCAGGTCTGCTTTGAAATTGGTTTCCATAAGCCTCTACTGTGCACAAGGACTTTATCTGAACCTGGGCTCCGCTGCGTTCTGAAACCTGCCGTAGAATTTGTCTGGGACACTTCTCTGTACAGAAGTATGCAAACTGCATACAAAGCAAACACAGCCTCGCTTTCTAAGTCCACCCAAGACAACAGTCAACACAAAAATTACAACAAACAAAATGTATTTGGCCTCACTGCCAACTGAAACCTCATTCCTGGAAATGTAAATACCCTGATCCTGCTCCTTAGACACAAAACCCCATCCATTCCATGCAAGAATACACATCAATCCTAACAAGTACTCTTCAGTAACTCTGCATATCGTTCACATAAATGAGAGAAAAGAGATGACATACTCATCATGAACTATGGTGGGGCCATCCCTCGTTAAGGCCTCTTCCTTAATTACATTGATAAGTTCAAAGGTACTGCTTATGGGAGCATCTGGGTTTGGCCATTTAGGACACTGAAAGTGGCGGACTTCCAGAACGTAGTCATCCTGAAATGAAAAGATCAGCCCCAGCATTAGCCACCTCAGTTTCACATTATCCACTCCACGATGGAAGAAGAAAGAGCCTCTCTACACACTGAGAAGGAATCTTCTTCCAAACTGTGTATATAAGAAAAGATACATAACTGTAGCATCTCTGTACTGCTGAACATCCTAAAATAATACAATTTTAATTGATGAAGATTTTGTTCTTTATTTCATGGCTTCCCTCTGAGTTCACAGGTCAAAATTCAAACAAGAGGAAACCAACCAAGGAATTTACATTTAAAAGGTTTTGCCAAACCAATGTTGTGCAGCAAAATCTAGCTGCAATTCTGAAACCAAACTAGAGGCAGACTTTTAACTCAAAATAAATGTACTTGATAAATAATCCCCAGTAATTAACGCCCCACACAATTACACTGTGAATTTTATACACAGAAACAGGACCTTGGTGTACTTTACAAAGAATAATTCAATCTACTTTTGTAATTACTGAATGACAAATGATGTTTTCACTTTTGAATGTGTCAAACACTAAATACTACAGCCTCGCTAGCTAAAGGGATCCACCTGGAAGTAGAAGATGTGGGAGGGAGGAGTCAATGAGAACAACTTTCCCCTGTGAGCAACGGGCATGCACGTGCATTTACAAGTACACAGCTTTCAATACTGCTAGTGAACTTTTCTTCTGCCCTATTTAAATGACATGACTAGCATTTTGGAGAAAAGCCAAGACCCAAAATTGGAGGTTTATTTTACCTGGGTAGCTTCAAGGATAAAGTCATGGATGATAATTTGCTCTTCGTTAGAGAGGCACAGTCTGTCTTTGCTGATAAGGGTCACAGTAAAGGCCTCACAGTTCATAGATTCCTCACGACTTGGCCAGTACACAAACTCATCTTCTGCCTGGAAGAAAGGAAAAACACTACTGCAGACTTTCAGATACCTTGTGTGCAACTGAAAAATCCAGCAGATCAAAAAACTGGTTTGATACATAGAGATGATAAAGAGCTGACATTTAAAAGATATTTTTGTCTAAAACCAACTCACTATTAGTTTACTAGAAGTCATTAAGTTTGCCAGGCCCCTCTTTTGTGAGTCCAAACAGGTAACACTTGCTTTTTAATTGGTTTCATGGGGAAATGGTTCTCTTACCTCGCTTCCACTTAACCTTTGTGTTATATTACCTCCTGCCTACACAGTTTTTCATAAAAGTTAGACACTTGTTTAGAAAAAACTCATTGACCTTTACAATTAATTGCTTACTATTTTGAATTTGTATCTATTGTGGTCTAAGCCAAAACTCAAGGATGTCAGTGGAAGGTCTTTGGATCAGATCTAGGTGGAAGACAGACAAGATACTTCATGTAGGGGTAGAATTATTAAGGGTAGGGGAAAATACTGTCTTGGTCCCATCCCACCCCTTCCTGGCAGCCAATGTCACAAGCCAAACAATGAACCAAAGCACAGACACTACTGCCCTGTAGACAGCCTCTGTTCTGGGCTCACCAAAGATGAAAGCTGGCACCAGGCATCCTTGTAAGCAATACAGCTGAGTCCAGTGCTCTGCAGGGCCAGTCTACAGACTTTTAAAGACAAGACCAACCTCTTCATTTCTACCTGACACTCTCTGTTTCATTAGTACTTTCTGATTCAATCACATTTCACTGAATGCTCTTTGCCCTGCAGTTGCACTGCACATGGGAAGCATATACAATGCTGCCTCTTCAGTTTAATGATATCACATTTAGTATTGAGTATAATATTTATACTGCTGCCTCTCATGACTGCTATTTTTTGGCTGTAACAGAGGTGGTTTCTCTACCATTCTCAGCTACAATTGTCTGTTCACCTCAGTGATGCATGTATGAAAAAAACCAAACCTTTTAATTCTTAATTATTTGCAGTGTCCTCTTGAGACATGTTAGTAAACGTGGAAGCACTGATTAGCACTTCACTTGTGTCACCTGTTTCTCTCTCTTTGTCTCACAAATTAACATACACATTCACTTTTGCTGACATTAAAATAACTTCTATAACCTTTCATAGCCTTAAGTTCTCATGGCCTTAGACTCCTGGAAACAAGCAACTTTTCTCATGTCTTTGCTTTGTATTTTTGCTCTTCTCAAAGTCCTTGCCCTAGTTTTTTGTAACAAGCTTAGGACAAAGTTTGAGGAGGTGACTTGCAAACTGGCGTTGCTTTCAATGGAAAGTAGCTACAGCATGCAATGAAGTGACCCAGGAGAGGCTCAAGTTGGATGTGAAGAAAAATGTCTTCTTATAAAGAGTACTGAACAGGCTGCCCAGGGAGCTGGGAAGTCACCATCCCTGGAGGTGCTCAAGAAAGTAGATGCTGCACTTAGTGACGTGGTTTAGTGGGCACAGTGGTGATGGGTTGATGGTTGGACTTGATGATCTTAGTGGTCTTTTCAAACCTTAATGATTCTGTGATTCTACAACCCTGGTGGCCAGCTGAGCTAAGTCACTGCTCTATGACACAGGGAAGGAGGTGCTTCACTCACCAGGCTCTGGTTGTCTGGCAGCATGACAATGATCTGTGCATTGTGATCCCAGATCATTCTCCAGAAATCTTTAGTTGTATGTGGCAGCGGATGTTGGGTTATGATGAACTCGTTACTCCTGTAGTAGCCCTTTTCCAGCAAAACAAACCAAAATTACTTATTGCCTTCAATACTTCTGAAGCATTAATTTTATCTGTGGGGACACATGATGACCCTATTTCATTTTATTCCACAACATTTTTGCACAAACTGTAATTTCTGTAGTGCCATTTCCAGCAAAGTCCCTGTTGTTTTCACTTATTCTAAATCCCAGTATTTATTTGACTGTATCTCAGGAAAGTACACATTCCATCTGAATGCATCTAGTATTTAATTTTCTTAAGCAACAATCTTTAATAAAACACAGTTAATAGCTTTACATTATGGGGAAGGTGTTAAAATCTCATTCGTTAATACACAGCCATTACATACAGAATTAAGACAATTACAGGCATCTGGTATTTAGCACCTCAGAATTGATTTTACTTTGTAATTAGGTGTTGGCTTCCTCACCATGATATAAGAGGCGTTAATGTAATCAGTTCCCTTCATTCCAGGCAGTGGTGCCAAGCCCACTCTAGCACGCTCAGCTATAAGACAAAGATAAAAGAATATCAGAGTCTGGTCATGGCCCATTGCAGAAAGCAGGAATTTCTCAGACGTTAACAAACCAAACATTGCAGCTCCCATCTCCTGCAGGAGCAGGCCTGCACTTAACCGTGTTAAAGCACTGCCTGCTAACACAAAATATAAAAGAGAACGTTGCACAATATTCCCACAAGGACAAAGTAATTTGTAAAATCAAATTTTACTATAGCAAAGATTTTCACAGCAGGCTGAATTACCGAATAACAGTATATGCAGTGATAACAGGGGATTTCAGGTAATTTTTGACTGTAGCATTCTATTTGTTTCTAGCAGCACAAAAACCCAGGTGACTGATTTTGCTTTCCCTACCTCTCCATAGCACAGCCACCACTCATTCCTCCCATCTGGAAGGTGAGATAACCTTCTCAGATAAAACCCTTCCATCAAGGGCAAAAACCCAGAAGCAAGTAAATGTTCTCCAGCAGGTCTGCACTGCTCTGTGTTTGAGGGTTGGGTTCAACAACATCCTGAACCCAACTGACAGGCTCCTACTGCCAAACTGAAATCACTGCAGCGACATGACACAATCTGCGAGGTCATACAGTCTATTTCAGTCCATTCACCTTTGTTTATAATGTATATCCTGGCGATTTCTCTTTTTGTTACCAAACTTCATAACAAAACCTGTGCCCATATAGCAGTGCACTACTTTGAGTACTGCTTGCCCTGTATGCCCTGTGCTCTGGGCAATGTGATGGGAATGACATCATGACTGCTTGGTCTTAGCAAGTTCATGCTGCCAGGCAGCTGTGCACAGATTCCATATTAACGACTGTGAAACTGTGGCCCTCAAACCTGAGGAAGGCTTGCACACAGAAAACAAATGTACTACAAAGTACATCATAAAAACACTTGTGCCAATCACTCTGTGAGATCTCACCTGAGCTGAGAGCTGCATCAAAGTAATTATCACAGTATTCCATAGGTTTATCCTCCACCTAATCATTCAAATTCTTAAGCACTTCACATTAACATTTCACTTGGGCAGTATACCTAACTGACACCATAACTGTTTTCTTTCATTCCATTTCAGAGTAATTTAGCAAAAGCAAGACAGCTTGGTCTATACAGATCACACTTGTTCTTCCTTGTGGCTACGCCTTTTCATGCATAACACAGGAAGTGTTCACTGCAAGAAGTTATGCTAGGCAGTGATCAAACCGAAGGTGCGATCTTACATGGCACGACTGATGAGTTCCTGTTCTTCTCTTTGTTGCAGTCTTTCTGAGCACTGAAGCATTCCACATATTTTGCATTACACTGTGTAACCAGCTGAAAGAGAATAAAGTAGTAAGTCAGTCCTCACAGCACTCTAACTGAAGAGAGGTGGTTTCTTTGCCAACTCCCAGGAAGAAGCATCAGTACAAGAATACGTCGTGTTGTTAAACTTGTTTAAAGTACTCAAGATACCAATGGAAATCATCTTTTCATACAATTTGTTTAATGGCTAAAAAGATCTCTACAGCTCTTAGCTTTGAAGCATCCTGAAAATGAAGTTCCATCAAAATGCATTTTCACAGAACAGTACGTTTAGTTATCTTTGAGAATATATTTCAAAGACTTGCAGATACGTTCAATTGGAAGCAAGTCTCGAGGAACAAAAGCTAGCAAAATAAAACTATGAAAAAATAAAAAACCAACCACACAAACTTTCATGCTTTCTTTCAAAATGAAAGCAAGATAATTCCTCCAGAATACCTTTTTTTTCTGCCAGGCCCTTTGGGAACTCAGCACACCAGCAGCATAGATTTGAGGCTAAGAGTTGTATTATCTGCTCTGCTAAATTCATTCCAGGCACAATGAAAAGTCAGAGAGGCAGATTTGTCTTTGAATATTCCCCCCGCGTATGGGGAACTCTCCCAAAGCAAGAAGGGTGAAGGCGGCTTTTCCATCTCTTGCACCAGCAACTCATTACTCAGGGTAATTTTACTCTCAGTCGGTTGTAAGTGAACTTCTGCACCAAGGCATGAGCACGAGTTATTTTCTGCCAGCTCTAAGGCAGCAGCAGAAATCAGGGAAAAATTTAATAATCACTGCTTTCTTAGTCCCAGTTTCAAACCCATTCTAATCACGACAGCACTTCACTCATCTACGTACTGGCATTGTTACACTGGAAGTTTCAGAGTTTCTAAACACTTGTGCAGCTCCAGCAGAGTAAGTATTTTGGAAAACGGCACCTCCAAGTTGCAAATTTTGCCATAAGTCATAAGAAAACATCTTCATCCTTATAACTTGATATTTTTTATAGCAGTGGAATAATTCTTTTCTAATAAAGTGTCTTTCTCTCCTGCGTGTGTGTGCACACTTCTGTGCTTGTTTCTTTGATGTAGTAATTATGCACCTGGAATGTCTTTCTTGATTGAGAGTACTGACATTTCTACAAGTGCATTCTGAGACCACCTTGTTCATTTTTTGAATAGCTTTTCACCTGTTAAAATTTAACAGCTTCAGTTCCTTATGTGGTCATTAAACTGAGTTTAGGTGTGAAAACTGACATCATGTATGATCATATGAAATGCAGTCCCACAAAAAAATGATAAATGCATTCAAAAAACGCAATCAGAAAATTGTAGGTTTCATATAGATCCAAGCAAATAATTTTACTTTGGCCACGATGAATGCAGCTATAATACAGTAGGGAAAAGCAGCAGGCACAGCTATTAGCAATGGAAAGGCATGTTGTGTTTCTTGATGTTAAAACATTTTAAATTATTTATCTACATCATGGAAATAGTGAGTTGCACTAAGAACCTCATCTCATTTCTTTCTCCATATATATATGCACAAGAATCACTGTTTTGAGTAAGACCTCCAACCAAATTACCCACAGGCCCAGGAACACTCAGCTCCTTCAAAATGAGGAGACTATCAGCAGCACGCTTCAAAGCAATGCTCGTGTTCCTCTTTGCACCTTTGACTTCAAGAGCATTAGTGCTGATTCCCAGAAGCATGGCTGACTTGTTGCGCCCTGAACTTCCCAAGATGCTCTGCTGTGCTAATCAAGTGTTCTGGTTAGGTTCATTATCTATGACAACAAACAGGGAAGGCATGCCAAGCAACACAAAGTGGAGAAATTAGGTCCCTCTGGATGGGAGTGATAAGCCTTACCTTGAATTGTTTTTCTAATCGTGTCTTCCCTCCTATGCCAGGTATGAGGATGCTGTTAACATAACTATGCAGCTGGTTTGCAGATACTTCAGTCTCCTTCCCAAGGATGGCTTCCAACAAGGCATCATGAATAAAAATGTACTGCTCCTAGATAAACAAAGCATGTCAGGTAAGCACTTGGAATAAACTAAATGGCTGGCTTTAACTGAGGGGTAGAGCACTGAAGGAGGGTATGCAAAATAACCCACACATGCAAATAAGGCCAAATAAAAAAAAACAACCACTCACAAGTGTTAACACACACAGCTCTGAAAAAGTCATAAGCAAAATCTGAAGTTTCTGGTCTAGAAAAAGAGAGGCATTTCGGTGCAACAAATATCTGGTGATATATTCAATACTTACAGGGACGTAACTGAAAAATCTATTTGCTCTTTGACTGCAACATAAAAATGAATATGGCCATACACTGAGCCCCACTGCAATCTTTACCTCTGTCTGGACGAGGTAGTTGCGCTGTGTCCTGATATGTTTCAGGAAACCCAGGACATTAACTGTGCTTTTGTCTTTTATCTGTTGCAGCATACTGTCAATCACAATGTAGGTTCCAGTTCTGCCAACACCAGCACTACGAAAAACGTAAGAGAAACCCACGTAATACAGCCAAGCCACACTAAACACAACAGCAGAACAGAACTAAACAAATGCACCTATTCCTAGACTTTCAGTTCACTGCTAGCCTCAATCATGAAAATTCCTGAACAAAATACTTTAGTTTTCTAGGAATTTTCTGGTTGCCAGTGGAGGTGATCCTGCCCTCCCCGTGTGCTGAATGGGCAGGAAATCAGACTTCAGAACCAGGAATTGCACAGCCTCATCAGTGCAATGCTCAGCAGCTCAGCATCATGCTGCTAATGCAACTAGGATTTTTTGATTAGAGCACGCTTCAAATGTAGGCTAAGCCAACTCACGTCTCCCTGCATCCATAGGGCAGGCACACTGCTGTCTTAATAATGTACAGTGCTTGCCTTCACAGGCATTTAAAAGAGCATACACTGCAAAATAGGTATATTGACCATCAAGCATTTGATCAAATCTATTTAGATCAGATATCACGGGGCAATTTTTCACTGAGAGGTTGATGAGGTGCTTGAACAGGCTGCCCAGAGAGCTATGCATGCCCCATCCCTGGAAGTGGAGTCCAGGCTGGAAGGGGCCCTGTACAGCCTGAGCTGGTGGCTGGCAACCAGCCCACGGCATCAGGCTGGAATTCAATGATCTCTGAGGGCCCTTCCAACCCAAGCCATTCTATGATTCTGTGATCCTTCATACCTGCAGTGCACAACCACTGGTCCCATGTCTGGGGTTCTGGCTGCAGATGATCTCCTAACGAAGGTCAGCACAGGAAGGGCATACTCTGGCACACCCATGTCAGGCCACTGAGTGTAGTGATACTGAATAACCGTTCTCTCGTTCTGGCGCCCTTTTGGGTTTCCTTTCTGACCCTGCATGCAAATTGTAAGCAGAAAGAAGAGAAAGATCAGGAAAGAGAAGCAAAGAATCCTTCAGTTTTACTTCAATTCCTCCGTTCGGTCCTATTAGTTTGCCCAGATGAAAATGTGTCGGACTATGACAAAAAGAATCTCCTGCAGCTCTGCTTTTGTTTGGTGGAGACACAGTGCAAGGAAAAGACGTAGGAAAAGACATAGTGCAAGGAAAAGACAGCAGCAGCTCCGATACCAAGGTGGTAACAAACTCGAGAGAAAGAAATACAGGTTAAACCTATCACCAGGTTCCTTGTAATCCTGTTTTTGCTTACTCATTTCCCATCCACTGCTGCTTCAAGTTGCCTACACAACAGCTGAATTTTGCTCCTGTGCGGCTTGCATCCCGCACAAGCTAGAAGGCATCTGGATGAGAACAGTGAAGGCTTCACCCACCTTTTTCATCTTTGTGTTCCTGACCGTGAAGCGGCGCACAGTGTAGCAGGCATGAATGTTTGTGCTCTTCAGCGTGACTATTATGTTGCCATACTCCTCGCTATTCTCTGACGGCCAGTACTGATCGCATTTTCTCTGAACAAAGACACAGTTGGATGGGTTGGCTGAAGGTTTGAGCTGTTTCTTTGTATTTGTGGTTAGAGCTTTTTTAAAAAGTAAAATCATGGCTAGCTATGTAACCCTCAGTTATTTAGGTACATTTTAGACATCAGCATGTATCATCCCAGACCATTTAAAACAAATTCTGCCCACGTGATTTGGAGAGATGGTAAGGAGTATTTGCTAACAAACTAGAAAATCTCTTACTCTTCCTTTTTCAACAAGGTTTGTGATCATGACAATGATTCCAGTATTTTGTTCCCAAATCATCCTCCAGAAATCTTCAAAGGTAGACTTTAAAGGTCCCTGGGTAGCAATGTAGGCTTTTGCTTTGTTGTAACCCTTCAAAGAAAACCATAATGCCAAGTGAGATGAAAGCAGTATCATGGCAGAGAAATTAATAATTTAAAGGTAACAAAGAAAGGTGCCTTTCTCATTCAGAATAGCGAGGAATTTGTAGCAAAACTCTTACGTGAAGCTGGAAAACATGAACATTTCACGAGTAGCAATGCTTCCTCATTGGGGAAGGATTTAGAGAAGAAAAAATAATTCAAATAACTTACATCAACATAATTAGCATTAATGTAGTCACTGTGCTTAGAATCTTTTCCTGGTAAAGGCCTCAGCTTCACCCTACTGTGATCATCTGCAGGACAAAGAACAGAACAAGAAGCATTAAGGAAATACGATGCAGAATTGAAAGTAAACATCCTAATTCCCATGTTTTGGAGTAGCCCTTATTACTACCTTGCAGCAACTGGCTTTGGATTGAAGTGGAATGTGACTGTTCTCGGCCATCTGATCATGGTAGCAGTCACTCAGCTCTGCTGGCTCAAGGAGCAGAGCAAATGTCCCCACTCCTTCACCACCCTCAATACACCGAGAAGACAGACTTTGGATCACGCTGTTGCACTCTTTAGCTCTTGTTCTTCTTGCACTCCAATACCTGGCTTCTTGCTTAAATCAGAAAAAAAATGGCAACCCTTCTGCTTTTGAGCAGCTGTGTGGGGCTGGGAGGTGCTTCCAACACATGCAGAAATGAGACATAGGCTAACTTCAAGAAGGAAACATCTGGCTTCATTTGCCTTCCAACATATGAATGGAGAAAGAGGTTTCTCCTGGTGCCATCTGTAGTACTGAAGTTCCTGCTTCAGTTCTCTAAGGGTGCTTCTCTCAGTGCTTAGAGGGACCAGACACCTCTGTCTAAAATCACAGCTGGGACAATTGCAAAGGATCTCCTTGTACAAGGACACGCAGCGAGAGTGCTACTGGTGCTCAGCCTGTACCTCGACTGATTCTAAGCATGGGATACACCCATTTAATCCCTATGCCATGAAAAACATTCAAGATTTACTGCAACATTTATAAACATAGGAACTTAATGTCGTTGCTCTCCATTTTCATTCCTAAACCACAGTAACTGCTGCACCTGCCATTTGTTCCACATCAGAGAAAAGTTACTGCATTTACACTCCAGCCCTGTACAAATCTGCACTCTAGAGCTGTGTCCAGATTTGCAGTTCTCAGAGGAATACAGGCAAAGCCAGCACTGTGCTACAAAGATCACCGCTTGTCCAAGTCATACACACAGTTGAAGCAGGTTGAAATACAGCAGATGTACTCTGTAAGATTTAGCATCTTTGGGAATACAAAGGAATCCCAGGGATCATCAGTAAAACTCGCTGCTCCACCATGCACTTCCCTTAGGCCAGTTTTCAGATGTTTGCAACCAGAAGAGCTCTGATCATCAATTTATCCCAGTTATTCCTCCACAAAGTTTCATAGTAAACTGATAACTTCTAAATCTACACTTGGACCATCAAACAGCAAAATACTTTAAAACAAAAGCTGGAGTGAAATTGTAGCCTCAGAGAAGCAAGAATGTCCACTGCCTTTAGAAGGAAAATGCCCTCCCAGCTGCAATTCCACATATTTATTAGTTGTTGTGGAACAATGTAACTTCAGACCGCACAGACACATTGTGAGAGTGCCTTTCCTGGCTGATTAAACATGCTTGCAGTTGTGCTTACTTACACGCTAGGATGTTGATGTATCTGTTCTTGTGCTTGTTGTCAGGGTGGTTGGAGTGCTCTGCAGTGATGTTCATGTCGGCCGTACAGCGCTGCACTTCCTAGGCATAAAATTATTCAAACAGAAAATGTGTCAGCACGAAGAATGAAGTTTTATCTCCTTTTGCAACAGCTCACAGAAACCATGTTTAAAGTACCAATATCTTACTCGCTGGATTAAACACAGTCATTCAGTATTGTCCTGTAGGACATGGTCTGCTTAAACTAAGAAGGCATTCGCTGCTCACTGATGCCCTTCTCTCCACAGACCTGTGACAGATGCAGTCTGGGCACTGCAGTAGTCTACTGTGCCTCTCTGACCAGCAGTCCATCCATCTTCTGGACTGCATCTCCTGATGCCTCACTCTCTCCCCTCTTCAGCAGACAGAGTGCTTTCAAAGGCAGGAATGGCCACAGTGTAGGCTACGAAATTAAACATCAAAACCATTTCAACAGAAGACTTTTGACTGCAGGACAACTTATTTGCTTATAACCTCTCCAAACAGGGTTTCTGACATTTCAGTTTGGCATTGACCTTTTGCTAGTTCTCTGAAGAGATGCCTTTTATAAAGTATAAATAAAATAGATTGCTGAAGGTAGCAGCTAGTGCTTTAAATGCCACTGCTTGGACAGTGATTAACAGCCAACAATACAGTGAAAAAGATAAAAGGTTGTATCCACGTATATATTCTGGAGCTACGTCTATTCAGTTATTTACAAAGCAGGACGCGTTTGGGCTTGCAAAGTGCTCATGAAGCTAGAAATGCAGACAGCAGCCTAGTTAGGTCTGATACCTAATTCCAATTGACTTTTCAGCTCTTCACCTGATCCTTCCTCACCTCACTGAAGAGCAGAACGCAGAGCTACTGAAATGGGGCAGTGCACCATCGGTTCTTTGCCCTTTCAGAAGAGCAGCTATTTCCCTCAGCCAGGCTGCCCTACAGTTACACCCATCAGGACTGCCCTGCAAACCAAATCACTGCAATCCTCCAACTCACATATTATACCACTCCTGAGTCCGATTTTCTTCTTTTACAACCTTCTTGACAAAGCAAACCCCCTTTTCATCATTAGCTTAAACATTTGCAGTTTTAAAACACATTTTTGAAAAACATATCAATGTTTGGAATTAACAAAATGGTGGAAGAAGCTGGTTATTCAAATCACTGCCAAGTCCCAGAAATCTCGCCAAATAGAATCCATTTCCCCAAGGATGGATGGGGAAGCGCCGAATTACTTTGTACTACGGGCTCTAAAAACAACAGCATAGAACCTGCCTAAGAGAGAAAGTCATTAGGAGCTCACAGCTGCTACAAAGATCACAAGCTAAGTGACAGAGAAAAATTATCAAGAGAAATGCTATACAAACAGCAGATGTATCAGAGTTCAGCATTATGCAGACGTTTCACAAAGGAGATGCACTGCAGTTTTCATATCTTCCCCAACATTTACATTTTGGAAGTGCCAAGTATACTAAAACCTTGAGCAGTTTACAGCTTTTATGGCCACACGACACTCCCAAATAACAATCGCTTTTTTCTCCACTGGGAGAAATACACTACATTCACATTCAAGGAGATGAGCTGAGCAAAGACAAAGAAGAATCAGGAAAAACTCTCAGCTGGTCCTAATAGAATTTTCATAGTTCCATTTCTAGCACAGAAGAAAACCCACACTACAGTGTGTGCTTCCCCTGATGCTGTTTGTCAGCTCCAGTAAACAGGTGACTTCTGCTTATACAGCAGGCAGGATCAGTGCAGCCTCACTCACAAATGGCAAAGCAGCATCACTTCCCTCTTGCTTTCATTTAATGACACTTTCTTTTACCTTCTATTTATTTATTTTTCTACAGGTTGAAATCATGTAACATCCTTGCTGTGCTGCTCGAGGTCACCCCTAAAAAATGCTCCTCCATTTCTGAAAAGCCTGACTTCAAACACATATCGCTACAAAACTCTCTTCAGACGTTATTAGCGTTGAAATATTTATGCCACATGCAGTGCAGATGAATCCAGTAAGGTTCTGTGGAGAATGCTCTCAAAAGTCAGAGAATTTAATAGGGAATTACATCCCTGCTAAGGAATTTTCTCTGACAGTTTAAATACTACATAGTAAATGCATCCCTTTCTATTAAATTCTATAGGATTCTTCCATAAGGGAATTGTTGGTAAGGTTAATCACTTTAATTAACCTTTTTATGTTGATGCCGACTGTTTTCTCAGCTGTACGTGTTCCCAGCTGGCCAATACAAAGTTAATAGAAGAGGAAGATTAAGAGAAGATGGTGAAAAACACAGCAGTGGAAAAGAAGGTCTTATGCTGTGAGAGCCGATCCTCTGAAAATGCCTTTTCTTAACACTGAACGTTTTAAATGAATTTTAATACTCCGGCAAACTGCTACAGTGGTGGATTCCTACCCTGCACCCTGCAGAAGAACAGCAAAAGGAGGCCGTTCAAGAAAAGCCTCCCCTTGCCAATGCGCCTCCTTTTTCCTTTTCCCTTGTCTTTTGTAACATCAGTGTAGAACAATAAAAGGCCATTTCAAGTTCAGCCTGCCTGCTCCAGTCCACAACGCAAAGAAGGCACTGGGGCACTGCAGCTGGCCGACAAGGGGCCACAGGACAGACAACGTCCTCCAGCTTCCTGCTGGCTGGCAAGTCATTCATCTGCATGTGAGGCATCCCCACCTCGTATCACTGCTACAGCCTAAGCTTGCAGGCAAACGGCCAGGTCAGGTCTGATCCCAGGCTGCTCACTGCAGACTTAACAAACTCTGCAATTAGCACTTAACTGCTTTTAGCACCTCAGAGCAGAACACTGCCCCTATCACTATGTGCATTATTCACCATCTCATATCAAAGGAACTTTTCAGCTCTGGGCTCTTTTCTTCAGTTTCCTCAATCCTGCTTGGTCTCTTCTAGTGATTGTAAAGGTGTGCTGCTGCTCCTCGTGTTTAACTCTGCAGAACACATTACTGTCCAAAGATAAATGGATAAAGGATCTCATTCTGTCCTTTCAACTTATCATTGACAACCCAAGAAACCAAGTGCATCGTTTCAGTTGACTGTTAGTTACTGTAAAAAGTGTTCTAGTCTACGCTATTATGGCTAATTTAGCTTTTAATTATATTGTCCATGCTAATGCTAATTGGAATTTGATACACCCAGGTTTAACGACCCATTTTCATTGCCCTTCTGAAACAAGTTAAAGATTAGTTTCTCCTAAACTTCAAAGAATTTCCATTTAAGTGTAAAATCAAACAGCTCCAGCATCTTGCTGGCAATACAAGGCTCTGAGCAGGAATTTTTGCTACAGTGACTGAGCAGGAACTCAGTCTCTTGATTTGGCCTTATGCAGTGCTGCTGTTGTTTCCCATTAGTTCATTAAGGAGATGTCCTAGGAGGAGCTGAACTGTAAAAGCCTATGAATAGCAATGAGCAGGAGTCATGAACAAAGGAAGGATCCTAATCTGAAGGGCTAAATTAGAGAAGATCCACTGCTCCGTTTTGATATAACTGTGGTATTTTTCAGTACCAAAGCAGTTCGTTCATCCGCCTTTAAGATCATTTTTGATCTATTATTTTAATCCCAAATTAGAGAGTTCTGTGGTAGTGCTCTTGCTGTTTCTTTTATCACAGCAAACATGAGCATGGCACACCAATAGAGACAGCAAATAGCATCTGAAGATCTCCCACAGGAGCAGTGTAGATTTTTGCAATAATTTAGCACTAGTAGAAACTCTCTGATGGCACTTACGAGAGAGGTGAGCTGGGGACAGCCTAGACAGAAGGGGAAAAATAAATAAACCAAAAGGACTGAACACAGGAATAAGAGCGGAGGAATCATGAATAAAGAGTTAAAAATTGATGCAAGTGTGAGCAAGTTGGGACCACTGATGAGGCGTGCGTGCTGCTGGGCTGTATACCCAGTGCTGCCTGCAGATGTGAGAGCAGCGGATGGTGGAGCATCTGCTCACTGCATCCTGCCCTTCGGTGTGTATGGAGGTGGGAATATGACCAAAACCTCGCACTCCTCATGTGCAGCTATGGTTCCTCTGAGTGGGGCTTCTAGGCACAGACTTTTGAGAATATCATTAGTGACAGCCAGCCAGGAGGTATTTAAGAAGTGTGTGGATGTGGCACTAAGGGACTTGGTTTGGTGATGTGAATGGTAGGTCAGGTTGATGGTTGGACTTGATGATCTTAAAGGTCTTTTTCAACCTAAATGATTGTATGGTATCTGAATTTCTTTTGCTGTTTCTCTTCAACTTTATCTCTTAATTCATGCCAGCTTGTTGGTCTGGATCTGACAGTAAGCTAGACTCCAGGAAGGTCCTCCTCTGCAGGGATCCTTCATCCTCCAGCTGCACAGTGCTGCTTCCCTTTGCTTTCACTGCAGCAATGCACAGCCTGAGAATACCCTTAATTATGGCAGTTTTAGGTCAGGTTTCTAAAACGTTTCCCAATGCAGCAATGTTTGCTAGCAGCACGCTTTTGAAATGGCATCTTTCTACTGCCAAATTCCTTGGTGTAGATACTGTAATAAGTATGGGTCTGGTGTACGCTGTCTAATCTGTAAAGGACGCCAGTATAACTACACAGTATTTTTAGTGTCTCAAGAAATGTGCAAAGCACAGCATTATCTCAGTCTTCAATGCAGCCCTTCACAAGAGAATAACATTCCGAGGTCGCTGGTTAAAGAGAGCTTGTGACCCCTGCCCCGAGTCGCAACAACCATGAGAATAACGCCAGCAAATCCCTGCCCCATCACTGAAGATATGGATTCGTTATTTTCTTACTCTTTAAGACGTTTAGAAGAAAGGTGCCGCTGGAGAATAAAGATATTTTCAATTTATGTGATGAGGGAGCTAGACAGCCTGCCTCCGAGTTCAGCGAGCCTGTTCAGACTCCAAACTGGCAATGATTCACTGCACTCGGACAGCCACAGGCAGGAGAGAGGTCTACCCGCTCTAATCGCTCCTGCAGCAGTGCTGACCGACCCACTCAGAATTTGGGGGGAGGTAAATAAAATCATCGGATCTCAGAAATCCAAATAGGACATTATAACACACAAATTCACAGTTAGCTTTGGGGATGGACGGTGATTTCTTGGCTTAATGCTCCAATCTCAGAGCGAAAGGACATGACTATGAGAAGAAATTACTGTGCTCTTCCAGAAACAGGCCAGAAGGAGGGAGTGAAAAGCTTTACTGTGGGAGGTGGCACTTCACTCTTTTTGATACAAGAATTTGGAGGGCACGCACCCTACGTAATCAGACTGAGTATCAGGGGGACATAAGATGGCGAATGTGACACCAGTTTTGCAAAAGAGAATCAGAAGGGATTTCAGGCACTACAGCCCACTAAGTCTGACTGGTCTATGGGGAAAACTGCTAGACACCATAATAAATAGCAGAGTTAGTGAGTGCCTCCAACACACTGTGGAGAGGTCCCTGAGGAAGCCCATAGGCAAGGACAGTCTAGAAGAGAGTCACATATATGGATTTCTGAAATGTTTTTGAAAAGGCCTCTCAGAAAACATTACTCAAAAAAACTGATCTGTTGAGGAGCAAAAGGAAAATTCCTTTTGCATATGAACAGGTATTTACCACATGGGAATTGTCAGTGCTCACATTTCTCCAGTGGGACATCGTGGGGACCTAATCTATTCATAAATGGACTGCAAAGGAGACAAAGTGTGTTTATAATACAAAATTATTCAGGATAATTTAAAAAAAAAAAAAAAAAAAAAAAAAAAATGCTGTTTGCCAAGGGAAGCAGAATGATCTCCCAGTACGAAGTGGCTGAATGATAAAATGGCAAATGAAATTCAATGTTGATAAATGCAAAGTGATGTACTTGAGAAAAACAACCCTAACTATATATACACACTGACAGCTTCTCAATTTGCTATTGCCATTCAGTGACGAGACCTTGGGGTCACAGCTGATAGTTTTCTAGAGGTGTCAGCTGAGTGCTCAATAGTTGTTAAAAAACAAATAGTATGTTAGGAAGGATGAAAGTAATAGAAAACCAAAGAGAAAACATCACTGTGCTCCTGCAGAACTCTGCAGTAAATCCACTCATTACACGCTGTGCACAGTTTTGGTCTCCCCACCTCAGAAAGGATAAGGCAAAGGAAGAAAAAAGGTGTCACCCTAAGTGTACAATGGCTTCCTCAAACAACAGATCAAATACTTCAGATTTCAAAAATGTTGATGAAGGAAGGGATAATATCATACACAGAAGCACAGAGAATCATACGAAGCGTTTAAATGAAAAAGGATGTACTTTGTAATGCAAAAACCAGGAGACACAGAGGTGTTATCAGGCATGAGTTAAAACAAAAGGGAATCCTTTCTAGAGAAACAAATTGTAGAATTCACTGCTGTGGGAAGCTGGGCATCAGTGCTTTTAGGTACTAAGAGTCTACCAGGGTTTGAGAAGCAGCCAGAAATTTATGGAAGAAAAGTCTGTAAACGTCTATTAAACATAGCAATGCCAAGAAAATTCCTGACTACACCTCGCAGTCCCTCCTCAGTCTTGTTCCAGTGCACACAGGGAAAGAGGCACCAAACCCTGCCCCAGTGCTGCCCAGTGAAAACATGGCATCTCACCCCATATGCCACGGCAAAAAGGGCTGGTGCTGCCTGGGAACAGGCCAAAAAAATTCCTTGAGCTTTTCTCAGCTTTAAGTCAAACAAATCCCTTGAAACACAAAGAGTTACATCAGAAACCAGCACTGATAATGCAGGAGTGTGGACTTGAGTTCAAAAAGTTAATGTTGCTCAATATCAAATTGGGTGATGTCTAGCTTATATCAAAAACTGAAAATTCATGGGACTCAAAGGAAATCTCAGCAGTTCTGTACATAGAGGAAAGCCCAGCTATCACCAGACAAGAAAGCTGGGTACCTGCACTGCAGTTACCCACAGGGAATAAGGAATCAGTTTGGATGTACTTTCCATCACAGGATTTGTGAGTTCCCAGTCCTTTTTTCCTCTGCACATGAAACGCTTCCTAAGCACATTCAGGAAAGATCTTGCTGTAATTACACTCGTTTTAAGAGGACGGAGGTAGCATTCATAAAATTTACTTTCACAGGCACCTTCCTCATTTAAAAATGAACTGCACACAACACACAGCTGCCAAAAACACAGGCAGAGATTCACACCAAAAAAGCAGGCATCGTTTCACCCACAGGGTCTGTGAACAATTCTGGCTTCACTCTTCCATCCCATCTCTGTGAACTGTAAGGCAGAAAATGAGGCCCCTGAGGTGTCCGCAGGGCAGAACATAAGCAATGAAAGGGAGCTGGGAGGTTGATCCCAACCAGTGACCTTCTTGTTCCTACTCCCTCTCTTCACTGTAGAAGATTTTGTTTAGTCTTTAGGAGGCAGAGACCACAGCGACACAGAAAACACAACTGATGCAGCTATGCTGACTTCAAAGGAGATTATCTAAATTTGGAGCCAGTGGGGAGAACGTAATTCGTGTGCAGTGCAGCTGGAGAGTTTAAGTTCCTGCTGAGGGGACCCTGTGCTCCCAGGAACAGGACTAATTGGCTCAAGCCATGTCTCCTGACTGGCAGCTATGGTGTGGCACCCGCAGCAGGGGGCTCTGGGAGAAAGGGAGAAATAGGGCTATTAGAGCAGTGTTTTCCTTCCCTAAAACATGGACGTAAGGTGTCCAACATTTGTTAATAGCAGAGATTTTGTGACAGCTGAAGCAAAGCCAGCTTAAAGCCAGACCAAGTTTACAAATGTGTTGGTGATTATTTTGAATAATTAAATGGTGTAAAACCCAGCTGTGATGAATAGCACTGGGGTCGCAATTCATAAATAATTGAGAAGAGTGAGTTGCATTTGATCATCCTGATCAAATTCTACTCTCTGGAGAATAAATGTTTGTCCTGAATACCATCAACATTGTTAAATGCCTCAATATTCCTGCTCAGCCATCCAGCCAGCAGTCAATTGAACTAAATCACTTTAACACCTTACACATTTGCCTTCCTCATGAATACAAAATGTTTCTAACTTGCACAATGGTTTTTGGGCATCATACAAAGCAGCCACTCTTTATAGACAGTAAACAAACAGCAACGATAAATGTTTTAAATGATCCCATTAAAAACAATTCCCACATACAGTCTTGTCTTTACTGCAGTAAGTAAAGAAGCTGTAGATATTAGGCCACCTATTTTGTTTCATTGCCTTGTTTGTAAGCAGAGCTGCCTGTGTAATTCACATGCTTTGCACAAACACACCTCTTTTTGCTGACGGGGAAGCCAGTATCCACAGCTCCAATGCAATTTCCTGGGGCTCCTCCTGTTTCTCTACACTTCTCAAAGTTCAGCTGTGATTGTGATTAGACTGAATGCAAGACATGTCTAAAAACTAGGCAGAGAATACTGAATTCTTAGCATCCGACTGCAGTCCATCCTCACGCTGTGTGATGTTTACCATATTTTGGCAGTATGGGTTTGGTAACCCAGTCAGTGCAAACTGCTTTCATTTCTTTGGAATTACTTCCAATTTACAGCATATTTGTAGGTCAGAATCTGTCCTAAACAGCTAGTAAGATGCGAATTTTAAAATAGTTAACATTAAGCGAACACTCACAAACAAGCCTTAATCTTTTACTGGAACAAAATAACCAATTGCTCCAATAGCAATGGAGGAAGGACTCCAGGAACTGACACAGTGCAAACAGAAGGAACAGCCATTGTTTGGGTTTTTTCACTGAAGACCAAAAACTATTATTCTCTCTCACAGTGAGCACTGTTCTGCTCCTTTTGGGCAAAGGCTAAGTATCTTATTGGCACGACTTGAAAAAACAAATTCTGGGCCAACAGGACTAAAATCAGCTGCAGATTATAAGAGAAATATGGAGTTGAAAATAACTGCTTGCATCTTCATGTTGCAGGCATATAACAAAAACCAAGTAAGGTTCCCCTTAAAGGCACCAACTGTAATAGAAGCCCGCCTCAGACTCTTGCTCTGCGGTGTGGAGAAGCCTTCTGTAAACATCCAGTCCCAGACTGTTCATACCTGGTGGCAAATTGGTCTTTCTCTCTTCCTCCTGATGCATTTGAGTATTGCATTTACCTGACACGACAGCATCACACAGATGTCACACAGCCCCTTACTATTAATACACAATTAACTTTAGGAAAACAACATTTTACTAGAGGATCATTAAATCATACCTCAAAGTCTTCTGAGAACCCATGCTGGTTATTAGAATACAGCTCGCTGATGTGTTTAACGAACTGCTTGACTGGAATTGCTTCCATATCATCTGTAGAAAGAAAGAGACACTCAGGGTTGCCATTTGTCTCATATGTAAAATTTCAAGACCCACTCTCAGCTGCAGACTTGGGAAATAAAGTACCGAGTGCTAACACACGTAGATCTGAGTTCCCAGCGGTAGAGCTAGTTCAATATGCAGTAATAAGAAAGCCTGATAAATCTGGACAATTTTGATGTACGTTCATATTATATTTCTAATTCTAAGCACTGCAAATATGAATATTGAGTCTATTCCCTGTGAATCTTATTTAAAAAGACCAATTGAAATTCAAGCATTGTTTAGTTCTTGTATGCAGTTTGAAGGTAGCTGTGAAGGGAATGATGAGATCTTCTCTCCTTCCACGCTGTATAAAAAGAACAGTGTAGACCCAAAATAGGAAAGCACAGATCATAATTGCACCCAGTAAGTTTTTATCAGACTGAGCAGAAACGAAGACTTTTCTCCTGGAATGGAGGAATTACTAACTTTTTCCTTTTTACACAAAAATGAATCAAAAGAGAGAGAATTTAGCATGAAATTGGCTATAAGCAAAAGAATAGGGAACATGACACCCACACTAATTTGAGCTTTCCCTCATGGCAGGCACTGTTCATAACACTGAATATGTCTTCCTCTGGACCACTTGTTCTTGCTCACCACGGTGCAAACGCTACCCCGTATTCACTGATAAGTGACCCGCAGACATTTTCTCAAAAGAAAGAAGCTAAATGCTTGACCTGAACTAAAGACAGAGACCATTTCTAGCACCTATGGCGGATCCTAACAAAACTGGAGCGCAGGACGGTTGCCTCATTTCTCACTCTTTCTCTCAAAAAAGGCATAGCCGTTGTTATAACCACCGCTGCAGTTGGTACAAACACTGCGCTTGCCAAGATTCATTAGTTAATATTTTCAGTCTGGCATTTTGAAAATGTAAATTGCTATACAACTGTGATTACTTTCAGCATGTGAAATAATCTATTGCCTGATGGCTACTATTGTCTGACTGCATGATTTTATGGCAACACGCTGGTATTTATGTATCCCATTTAATATTCTTCTGAAGATCACATCTAGTTTATGTTTACTCCCAGTAATTCAGTGATGTATTTTTGCTCCCATTTCGCAGCCATATGGTTTGGTACTACAGCTGCATTATAATCTGGATTCCTTTCCTTTTGAACATCTACATTATGATAGAAAAAATCCAAATATTTCTACAGATACTTAGCAAAATTTAACGATAAATAAATAGATGTGACATTTACTGTATTCAGAGTGAAAGATCTTTGGCAGCTAAAACCCCTAAGCTGTCACATATGCTTTTCTTAGCAAAGGGTATGAAGATCTGTATGTGTAAATGAGGTTCTACTTTGGCAAGAATTTTATAGATCCAGCCCTGACAACCTGATTGCTTTCCAGCTGATGGCAGTTAATATTGACCATGTCATTACTTCTCTACTCTTATTTTATCAGGTAGCGCTCTAGGGTGGCTTTTTGCATCTATTGACATTTTCAGATTTCAATCAGCTCTCTTCTATTTTATTTACACGAGCCAATTGTTCAAGATATGTTTGCAATCTGATCACCTCCCGGTGTAGTAATGCTACTTTAATTAACCACATGCTCATTTGCTGAATAATAAAGAACTCAAAACATTTGACAAGTGTATGTTCCTCTTAGTGAAAAGCTGCAGAATGCAGAAATGCTGCACTTAACAATATTTAAGTGCTAACATTTATTTTGTGCAATACTGAGTACCACCTCATAGCAACATTTGTATTAATATTTTTGATGCCAAGACACTCGAATGGAATGAGCTATACGAACAGCAGTCAATAGCAAGAGCCTGTAAAACAATCTTTCCTCTCCTGAAAAGTAACATCCTAAATTTCCCTGAAAATAGCTTGTGTGATGATAGCAATTTCACACACTGTCACAGGAAAAGATCCATATTTATTATTTTTTCTTGAGTAGTCTAGCCCAGCTGAGACCAACCAAGATCAAGGATTCACTGTAGCAAACTCGAGTGTCCAATTTAATTTTGCAGAAGGTAGAATTTAATTTTAATTGTGATCTGTGAGCCAAAAAATACATTAGAGATAACGCACTCTCCAGTCCATTGAATTCCCACCAATTTCAAGGATGGGTCTGAACCAGAGATCCATGGCAAAATAGGGTTAGTTTTCTTTTATCGTCATCACTGCATGGTGGCAGCATCTCTCCACCTTTATAGCCACTGTTAATTCACTTCTCTGTTGTTCACTACGCTTTATTTTTCTTATCCCATTTTCCTCTTCTGCATTTTCTCTTCTACAACCACTTTGACTCCTCCCAGAAGCCATAACCCAATGCAGTATCTTGCCCCACTTGAGAACATGGGAAACAAAAGGCAAATAAATAGTAAATACAGTTGATGTATGAGGTCACTGGGAGACACCGAGCTTACGCCGCTGAAGTTGCCCATAAACTCAGGAAAACCACGTTGAAACAGATGTAATGTTTGATCTCTGGAAGACTAGTATCAGAACCACAAACGTTAAAAACCCAATAAGCACTCATGATTTCCAGCCTTTATCCTGCTGGGATAATGTGGCCATGCTGACCGTGCAAGGTCTGGCAGGAGAAGCCATCGCTTGAGAGGCCAGGCAACTCTCGGCTGGTCGGGACACGGCTGCCTCCTGGCTGCTTGCCCATCGTGTCCCCTGCTGCTAGTTGCAAGAAAGAAGCTGTAAGACAGAGCCTATTACACTAACCAGTGGAACAGGAAAGTGTTAATTTGGACCTGGAATTTTCAATTCATGACCTCCAACACTTTGCCCTCAGCCAGGAGCATTAATTACCCAAGCTGCGCATGCTTACTTGTGGGCAGTTTGTTGGACCTCTGGTGAAATACATACCAATGTACTCAGTACTCTTAAATGGTATCTGCACTGATGTTACCTGAAGACAGCTCTGACCTTCTCTAAGAAAAGCAACAGATGTAGCTAAATGCACATGGAATATGCTTTTCCTTGCACTTTCTTCAGTCCAAAGGTTAACCTCCCCCTCCAACTTGAAAAGAATAGATTTCAATGACTATAATTCTTTTAGTCGATTGAAGGGACTAATGGAATCCTATCATGGCTAATTAGGAGCCTTAACAGATATTCTGCGCTCATTTCCTTTTGCGTCATATACTTCTTCCCATCCAGAAACCAGAGTGACATTTGATATGGCCTGTATGATGCTTACATTTTGCTCCACACATTCTTGAAAGAGAATAAGGAAATGCTTTAATAACATACCTTCACCTCTAGTACCACAGACATAATTATCACTCTTTCTGGCTTGTATTTAACCACCTGTTGTATCAGTGTAAGTGAAATGATTCTGGATTTACATCATTACAAAATATGAGTTGAATCTGGCACCATACTGGTATGCTCAGATTTCATGTTACTCAGAGAAAGAAGTAAGACTAGGTGAAAAGGGGCAAAAGTCTCCAATACTTTAAGATAACTACAATTATACAAATACAAATATATAAAAAACATTATTAAAAGCAATGTAATTTATAATAAAATCATTTACAGTCAGATACTACTGAAGCTGATAGATGGGGCTATCTTTGAGTACTATCCCAGACAATGAAAACTTCGGTGGAATTCCCATCTTCATTTGCAGGTCCAAGTATCTGAATGGAGTATCACAACTACAAAACTTAAGGGGAGCACAATGCAAATTAGATTTCCTGCTAAAAAGGAGAATGCCAAGAAAAAAGGTGTTTGTTTAGAAAGGATGGAAGAGGAAAACCTTCACTTATACCTCATTTTGTAAGAAGTGGCAGCAGACAATGCAGAATGCATATGCTTTTTTGGATGACAGGCACCTTCAAAAGAAGCCCAAAGTATGCAGAAGCAATAAAGTTAGGACAGGGTTACATTTAAAGTTTGGGCAATTAGCAATCCCACCAGGAAGGATTTTCCTCTACCTCCCACTTAATAAGCTGCCTTTGTAATGTTAAAGCACTAGAGGCCAATTGCAAAAGAAAAATGGCATACTGTATCAGAGATGGCATTTCCACATAATAAGATCTAGGACTCACTTTGACTCGTTTGTAGCCTGAGAGCTCACTGGTTGGTTTAGGGGTATTGGAGTGGAATAGACAGTTTTGAGTCAGCAATTAATACAGAAAGTCAGAAGCAAAGCTCTTCTTCATATTACCTTGCCCAGTTTGGAGTTTGGCAATCTCTGAAGGCTTTACATTTGATGTGCAGAAGACTTGGTACGAAGATTCTCCCATGTCTTTCACAGTGTGTATAAATTGTTTTTCCAACTACTATCTTATGCACTCTACTAAATCCAATATACTCCTTATATCTTATGCCTTAATTTAACATGAAAACTTGTTCCACCTCAGTCCAATGGCCATTCCATACGTACTAGATAGAGGGAAGGCTTGCAGAGCTATAGCAAAATCCTGCCTTTACGTGCAGTACTGCAGGAGAAGTAACTATGTGGAGTGCAATTCCAGCAGATTCATCTCCACAGCCAGTAATGGGGCATTTAGAGCCCAAACTTAAATAGGATCCATGCAGCTGTATCAAGCTATATCAGACTGCACACCATGCATAGGGATATAAAGCCCCAATATGTCTGTATCTGGTGTGTCTCTGGAAAAGCAGCTGATCACAAAGAATAATGCAAAGATTAATAGCACACCCTTGGGTGAAATTTGGCCCCAGCTGAAGCCGAAATTGAAATGTTTAAGCAGGCAACTCCACTGCCAGCTCGTGCCCTAACTCACGCCAGTACTTGACTCTACAAGTAATCCCACGCATAAAAATGGGAGGTGCCCCACTTCCTTCAAAGGATTTTAGACTTAATGCATTTGAATTACACATATTTATACAGTCACAGCCTTTAATTCTGCAGCACATTGGCTTTTCTTGCTTTACTATTTAAAATAAGGATGCGACTGAAGCCACTGTATTTCATTTGGAATAATTAATTTTTCTTACTGATCACATTGCTTGCTGCATAAAAAAAAAGCCAGGAATATAAGAACAGTTTTATTTGTATAACATGAGTATCAATCGATTTATGATACAACAAAGTCATTTAAAAACTCTTACTATTGAGAAGGTCTTTGCTTTCTGTGGAGTTCATACCTGCATACATACTAAAAAAGCAATACAGTAGGTTTGGATGGAATAAGCAGTGCAGTAGGAGCTCAGAGCACCTGCTGAAAGTGCTCTGTAGCTGGCATCATCTTGAAGCCAGTGACCTCATTAATTTAGAGAAATCATAAATTTAAATTTATAATCTAAATAAATGTCATTTAGATAAATGAAGATAAATAATAAATTACCGAGAGTTGATTAGTGGGGATACTCTTCCTCATTAATGAAGACATTTTTGTAGTTATTTGTTTAATCAAGCATTGTTTTTAATAAAAATGTCTTTCAGTGTGAAAAGACACACAAAGCTGTAAGAACACCTGAGTGTCCAGAAGAGGAAGGAACTCTGAAAGAAGAACACAGAATCTTTTTCTGCAAGATAATTACTGACTTGGTTATAATCAAGTCAAATGAATACAAGGGCAAATTTCTGATAAAGGGGAGACGTGAAAAAGCAGAATATGAAAAATCACCTGTGTAATACTGTAGCTACATTCATCTCTCTTGCTTCAAGATCTTATCTGCTACAATGCTATTAGCTATGTGTCAGTCAGGAATATAAAGATGTTAACGATAAAATTTTATATGTGTCAAAATAAGAGCTCAGTTTAAATCTGCTTGTACAAATCTTAGATCAGGCTATCATTAATTATAAATGCAATAGCAATATACTTTTTTTCCTTTAAGCAAAAAACCAATTTCAATCCAAGAGAATGAAACAATGAGAATTTTCCATTAGCGCAGACATTAAACATGATCTTATTTGATACTGCCTGCTAAGGAGCACAACTCCAATCTCACACATATCCATTCTCTGGTCCCAGCTGTGCCATTAATTACATATACTTATTGCATTTAAGGTTCAAGCACACGGATGTGCAACTCTGGAGCTCTCTGCAGTCCAGCATGACAGCTCTCTGAAAAGGATCTGTTCACGTTCCACGTGGCCACCATAAAAATGTGTTTGGGTGATTCAGTAAACACACGAAGCCTCCATTACAAGTACCACTATTAGATTGCTACCAGGAGCTCTTCTGTCCAGTACAGGAGCAGAGCTGGTGACACAGAAAAAAGGAAGGTGAACGTTCCTTAAAATACGTTGATATTTTCTTGGCTCCGGAGGACGGCTGTTTGCAATACTGCATTCATGAATTTAATTGAAGCTGAAGAGAGGCACAATTCACAATATGGTGCTGGAACATAAATCTGCAGGGAGCAGAAAGCGGGCGAAGTCTTAAACAGCTGAAGAACACTACCTCTGTGCTCAGAGAAAAACTTCATGCCCTTGAGAAACAAGTCCTCAGCTGCAGTTAGCACGTCCCTCTGTACCTCAGCAGTCCCTAGCATGGTGACTTACACAGTCACAGTCCCTAGCTCTGCTCCTCTGCCTTGGGATGCACCTTGAGACAGCCACATCTTAGCGAAAAACAGTGAGACACCAAGGCTCAGCTGGGAACCTGCAGTTTCCTTGTCAAGTGAGATATCTCTTAAGAAGTATGACTGTGTTTCTCCCACAGATTCTACCACTAGTTATTTTAAATATACTAAATCAGAAGCTCAAATACTAGTAAAAAACAAAACAAAACAAAACAACAACCCTAATTTACTGCAATGCAGTATGCAATGTGATCCAAGCACTGGGAAGTGCTTCTGAGTCTCGCAGTCTAGACACTGCTGAAAGGACTGGCATCACATCTGAGACATTTTACTTATATTAAAAATGGTGAAAGACATCTGGAACAATATGCTAACTGAACCAGCTGCATGGGCCAGCCGCTCTGTTCTTTACGAGCTGTGTCTCTCTGGACTGTTTTTTTTTAATGTAGAATTTTGAGCTTTGCCTTGGTGTCAGTCCTCACCTATCTCTGTACGGATCTCAGGACAAGTCCTGCTGACAGCAGAGCCTCAATGCCTGTTGTGCCCATAGGCTGAGAGACGAACCTGGAAAGCCACAGCATGCTCCGGAACAACTCATGGACCAGAGCAGAAATGCTCTGAACAAACGACAGGGGGAGGCTGTAAGAGGATTTGGTGCTTATTCCAATGTTTGATACTATCTACGATACACAGAGGGGCACTTCTGCACTGCTATCATGGAGAAGGTTTTGCAGTGAGAACAAAGGAGGACTGATGGGAATGTCTTTTGTTTTGCAGCATGTAAAACATACAGATTTGCAGCTATGGTGCTGCTGCTATTCCTATTCAACTCCACCAAAATGGACCAAGTGCAGCTGCAGCCCAACTATGAAAAAGTAAACAAATGGGAACAGGAGCTGGTTTGCTGAGGGAGATCTTGCCCAGACCAAGTGTTAAAGATATCCATACAAAATAATGTACAGGTTGCCAAAATGAACTGGGTATGTTGGGCAAAGAAAAGGGACACAGAGAAATAATTTTGTTTAGCTGAGTTGTAGGGATGGTTCAGAATTCTGCCATTGATTATAGGTATGTCAGACAGGCACAACACTTGTGTGAGTTTACATTTACTCCTCAGCTGCAATATCCAGTGGTTGACTCAGTTGATGATGTCTCCTTTGTCCCACGTTTCTCTAGATGAAGTAGTGTAGATAATTACGAATAATGATAATGATTTGGGTCTCAGAGCAAATTCACACAGCTAACCACATGCCTATGGGTGATGTGGTTGCATGCACAATAATCAAGCGTGTATGCCATGGGAAGGGAAGTAGATAATGAATAAAACCATTCCTTTACAAAAAGACTTTTTAGATTTTGGATCTGAAAAGTTGTGCTGTGTACCCCCTGGAGGCAACCAGCAGATTGGCTTTAAAGTTCATAGATCTAAGGAAATAGAGGGTATGTGTAAGTAAGAATAGAATGTAGCAAAGAAAAAAAGAATGGAAACTACTTCTGAGTATGCCAGCAATGTCCACAGGGCAGAGCAGAGCAGAGCAGAGCAGAGCAGAGCAGGGCGGAGACACCAGCATCACCTCCAATACCCCTAAAGCTGCTTCAGGACATCACTGTGCCCAGGATCACGTATGGGCCCAGGATGAGCCAACCCCAACCTGCCCAGCAGTCTCCAGCTGCATCTCCCTGCATGCTGGGATAGGCCCTGGCCAGTTTGTAGATGTCTTTAGGCACACTGCTCTGAATCGCCACCAGCGTTTCTGCTTGCACCTAACTCAGAGTAGAAGTTGGTCCACTGAACTGTAGGTGGTAGATGCATGGTTCCACAAGGATCTATTCCAATATCTTTTTTAAGGTTGTATTGTCTAAGGTTTCACAAGCTAACAAGATCACTTCAAAAAACATGCTTTTGGGGAAATGCCACTTATATTTTAGTGTTGCAATCCATGTAGCAAAATAACACTTTCTCACATGCTTTGGCAGCTTCCACCAAAAAATTCCAAGGGCTTATCAATTCATCAGCTGCAATTAGTTCAAAGGAGAATTTTGTTATTTAATTTTTTTGAAGAAGTTTCAGTGGGCGGCCTATGCAGGAGCAGCAGCTGATGTCAAAGAATATCATTTAGCAGCGAGAGTACTGGGGGAAAAAGGTTTCTTCTGGGTCTCCAAACATAAGAAGTGTTTAGGAGACCCTCAAGATATTTTCAGGAAGTGTCTCCCACCTTTGGAAAAAGGCAACATAGCCGGAATTTATGTTTACTAACTTTGAGCCTTATTATAGGCCAGCAGTACAGGTAGCAGCTAATAAACAGGGAGGCACTTCCAGAAGGCATTTCCTTCCACGGTGCTCACACCAACAATGTAAATTACAGAATATGACAAGAAATTCAGAATACCACCTTGAAGTGACAAGTACAAACATCTGATGGGCTGAGGTCAATCCAACATTTTGGGTACATTAATCCCGTGCATGAAACTAAGCAACATCAAACAAGTCAGTGGCTGCAAAGGCCATTATAACACCGAGCTGTTCTCTGTCATCACTGCTTAAAGGAAGCTGGATCCTTGATAATTCCCAGTGGAAATGCCTCATTAATAGAATACAGTGCTAAACCCTGCAACCAGCTTTGCTCTCGACATAGCCGAGGGGAGAATTTGACCTTTGATAACTTGATTAATACCAAATTAACAGATGGTTTTGAACTTCACTCAAGGTTGTGTGCTTATCCTTGTGTCTTGATTTCCTCTCTGAGACTCAGCAAACACCACCTCTGCCCACATCAGAAGTGGGGGGCAAACGCCCAGACCTGAAGCGAGCAGTGGAGCTGTGCATTCTTTGTCCCCAGCCCATCCCAAAGGAGAGGTTGGTTTCACTTTGAATGCCATGTCTTGGTGTTTTTAAGAAGTGTTACTTGTGCTTTTGACATTTCAAAAAGGTTATTCTGAAATTTCTATTAAAACAACATGGGAGAGATGCCTATGGAAAAGTACAACATTGGTACTCACAGCCCCATTACAAAGCACCTTCTATTGAATGCAGCAGCATCAACACCACTATTTTTTTTAACACACAATTCATCACAAGCACAACCTTCTCTTTTTTTGTGTAATCAAACAAGACTTAAAATAGCAAAAATATAGGGATTAAGTCCTCCTTACCTGGAATAGGTATGATGGGAATACTTTCATTGGGGACCACACGGGGTGAGCTGCTGTCTTCCACATAGAAATGGGCAGTCTGAAAACACTTTCTGTTAAAGGAGAAAAAAAGAAGAAAAAATGTTCATGGTGTGAAAAAGCCCCAAACTTTTGCACATTTGGCTTCTCCACTTCTGCTCCACACTTGCAGATGTTACAGTTTTAAAACACCAGTAGACAACGTATTTGAGTTTTCAACAGTTTCAATTTTAATTCCAGGCTCTGGTGTGCTCTAATTCATTGACAGCTGACATCCACCCACCGTAAGTGCCACTGCAAATTATTCTGAGGTACCACTGGAAATGAAAGTATACTCACAGAAGTCAGCAGTTGCAAAACAGGTTTCAAATACATCATTCAAAAACTGCACAAGAATTGTTCAGCATACAACTTAAGCCAAATCCACCTAAGACACAACATTTCCAGGCAACATACTTACTTACTTACTTACTGTAAAAGTTTCTGCTGTGTAACAGTGGATAGATGGTAATACAGCATCTTTAACTGCTGCATGTCACAAAAGTTCTGCTGTAAAACTTATCCTTCAGACATTACTATTTGTACTATAAAACACTGGAGCCACATAACCCTCACCCCATCCTCCTCCTGCGAGCTTGTATTACTACAGAAAAACACTACAGACAAATTGCTTGGGCCCCAGGACTCATCACTGAAAAGGCCCATACAGAATAGGAGAACTTAAATCCACCTGACTTTCTTTACCTGTATTTAATGCAAAGCAGAGAGCACAAGCTGGTCATCACAGAAAAGGTACTGAGCAGAATAACATGAAGAGATCCGAGGAGACTCTGCATGGTGATGTTAACTGAGGCAGGGTTTTCCAACACCAGCGTCACTCCTCATTGCTGACTTAATGAGCTGCTTGAGGCTGGAACTGAATATTTAATGAGCCTTGCTTGGTCTGAGCAGCTATTGTGACAAGAGAAGGGTCTGCTCTCATCTGTCAGGGCGCTTAACAATGGCTTCCCATGGCAGAGAGATGCCCCTCGCAGCCCCTAATGAACTGCTCAACACCTGGGCAAAGTTTGCAGGCGACCTCCGAGCTGCGCCTTTTGTCAAGTGTGCTGTTTCACTTGCTGAAGCGTATTTGCATGGAGTGGCTTACAAGTTTCTGCCTTGCAGTCTGCTCCTCTGTAATTTGGGCATTGTGCTCTACACAGAGAGCCCACTCTGCAGAGCCGGCTTTGCTGACATGGTGCAAGCAATTTGTGCTGCCTTTGTTTCCAACATCTATACGTGCCAGAGAGCGAAAAAGTTGCTGAAAAGCAAACCACTCTCTTAGGCAAAACCAGAAGCTAAAATAACCATGGGCACTTGCTTTCTGCTTTCTATGCGTTTGTACTTTGTTCTACACAATCACAGCACTTTATAATGTGAGCACATGCTGCAGCAGCACAAGTACAACTTAAGACAATACAGAAGCAGGAAAGAGCGTCTTTCACAGCATGGAGTAACTGTCTCATAGCAGCTTTCTATTTTCAGACACGACGTCTTGCATTGTGCTGAAGTTAGTTATTTAGTCAGTATGCTTTTGTTAAGAAACACCATAAGGTGAGTTGACACATGAGGATGCAAGATGTGCAGGAGTCTCAGCATTTAAGCACAACGGTTAAACTGCCCTCACCACGCTTGCTCCCCGTTCTCATTTTTTTTGGCAGCCTTTATTTTGGACAATGCACACCCTGGGGGCACACAGCAGAATAAATCAGTCACACAGAAAGAAGAAACTATGAATATGAAACAGGCAAAACGTTCCTGATTTTGATATATTTGGGACTCTTTCCCTTGAGTCAATACAAGTCAGAAATCCTTGAACTGCTTCTCCTTGTAATGAAGGCCTTAAGAAGGTGTTTGATAAAAGGACAGACCTTTACTTAGGGATTTACAGGATTTTTTAAAGCTGATGATGCTTAAGAAAAGCAATTATTTTTTGTAATTTGCTATTTTAGACTCTGAGAGACTCTGATAGGCGACCATTATGGTTTTTTAATGCAGCCATAAGATAGCTTTTCCTTAATAGCTTCAAAACATGTAATTGTATTGCATAATCACATGGTGTGATACTGTAAAGCCCATGGTGGTGATAGCTGAATACCCAGAGCAGCATATCTCTGCTGAGCACAACACTGGAATAACAACACATTAAATGAATATTTTACACAGTAAAGTTTGCTGCAATCATTAATGTCATTAACAATTCTGTATTTTATGCCTTGTAGACTTTCTGTAGCTGTTTTTGAAAAGACAACCACCACACAATTTGAATAAAGGTTTTCTCAGTTACAGACACCACACTAAAGCACACCCTTATACACATACATCACATAGCATGCCAGACACTGGCACGTTACATGAACACATGCCTCACAAACTCCTTTTTCAACCTGCTCACAGCTGTTCTAAGTTCTCCATGTTTACCCCTGAGCTCACTGAACGCAGCCTGCAATGTCCACACCCCTGGTGACTCCCCCATTTCTGAGGTTCCCAGTGACGGTGTGAGGCAGCACTGATGAGACTAGGCTTGATCCTGACAGCAGGACCAAGTGGACTAATCTTTAAAAGACCTTTTCCAAGGGGCTCCACAAACTCACTGCATGAGTTTTCCAGCAAGTTTTGCTTACTGGACCTCAGCCTTACTCTTGCACCTCTCCTCTGCGCAGCACCAGGAGGGAGCATCCATCCAAGTGTGCCATGCAGATGTCTCCAAGCTCTGAAGTTTGGGTTATGGCCATCTTTCAGCCTGACTAGCTAAGCAGTTGCCTGGATCCAAAGGAGCCTCTTGCAAACTCATCGAGTTCACAGTAATACATACAGATAGCTGGGATCCAATCTACAGGAAGCCATGTCAGAGAATTCAGTATCTGCCTTCTTCCCCGGTTCAGGCTGCTGCTTTCTATTTCCTGGCACGATCCTCTGCCCATTACCCTTCTCCATATACAAACCTTAAGTGGCAGCAGTTGCTAAGGCTACAAGGCTGCAGTAAATTTGTGTGTCTATGGGAAGAGCTGCAAAAAAGTATGGATGAGAGCAGAAAATTGCTTGTTTCAAGTCACTGGACAAGCAGCCACGGAGAGAGGTGGGAATGGATGCAGGGCTAGACAAGGTGTAAGTCTACAACTGCTTTCATGATGAGCACTTCAGCTTGTAATTTCTAACCTGTGTGTATACATGTTGGGATGTTTGTGCCTGTGTATCCATTTGCTCAGAAAACCAATAGGGCAGAAAGAAATAGAGTTGTTTTTTTCTTCCTACAGAAGCAGTCCTTACTGAATGAGCAATCTGGATGTCAATAGCATCCATGATGATTACAATTTTAGCAAGTGAAACACTAATTTTAGAGTAATCCTACAAATTCAGCATTGGCTGAGGAAAAGGAAATCACAGCTTTGATTTTTTACTTCCAAAAGATTTCAGAGCCCCCACATATTTTCTGCACCATACCAAAGAGTCAGTTGTCTGAAATACGCCTGTGTGCAGTGAAGCACACCATTTTCTCTAGCCCCATATGCTTTTTTGGCTCCTTTTCCCTAGGGTACAATAACTGTGCGAGATTGTGGCGATCAGACACACAATTGTCACATATGGACAGAAAGGCAGAAAGTACAACACTGCGAGATTAGCATCTCCCTGGAGAAGGGGCAGAGGCAGGGGCTGGAGAGCAAAGACAGCTTTAGGGAGTGCATCCCCCTGCCCAGAGTCTTTTTGCAGAGATACTGACAGCGCTTTATTAAAGCAAAGCAGCAGAATGTTAAATGCAGAGCAGAAGCACCTTATTATCACACTGCAGGCAAAAAGAATATGCCGAGAGATGGTCCTGATTAGCTGGGTTAGATGCTTGTTCCATCTCCGCTGAACAGAACAGCAGATTAGCTTCAGTGAAAGAAGAGATTTCTCATGAGATTTTGACACTCCAAAAGGGTTTCCTTGGTTATTAGTTAATAAAACTCAAGCAGCTTCTCCTTTATACTCATCTAAAAGCGAGAGAGAGAGCCAGATCACACCACAGCCTGAAAGCATGGATGCATTTTATTTTCTCGTAGAAGATAATACCTTTGTGTTCAGTTAATTTTGCCTCCGGTACAAGCACACAGCGTGTGCTGCAGTCCATGAGGGCTGGGAATAGCTCGGAGGGCAGCATTTGGCCTTTGCTCCATGCACTCAGCCTTGCAGCATCCCCTGATCCGTGCTGACAGGCGAGGGACCCGCGCTGCCCAGGAGCAGCTGAGGCAGAAGGAGAAGCAGCAAGGGATTGCTGTGGTGGAGCAATCAACTGCCTGCACAGTGGCTCACTGGCATCATCAGAACAGCAGCTGAACGTGGGAAAATATCAAAGAGGAATGCTTTGCTTTCTGGGGACATCCAAGAGCTGTGTCCTTCCTCACACGCAGAAGTGAGTGGCATGGTCATCCATCACTTGCACGCGAGGGATCTGCTCTTTCTTTCCGTAGAAGTTTCTGTTGGCTGGAGCCAATGTGTATTCTCTCCCCAAGGCTACACAGATTTATTCTTTATTTCTGCAATAGCACCAAGGAACTCTATGCTCCTGGTTTCTTTGCAGCCACTCTATTCTTGGGTCATTACCTCCTAAAGCATGACCAATTTGGGGCAGATGGCTCAAAAGGGTCCTGGGTGCCTATTCACTGTCATCAGTGCAGGGCAAACCTTGTCCTCTGGGTACCCTTCTTCCAGAAACAGCCTCCCACAGATGGGAACTCTGCAGAATGTACATTTGTTAATGAAGAGGTGCTGCAACCACCCCACTTTCACACACAGCCTCTGCCTTGTGGGCAGGACAGACCGAGTAGAAGTCAAACCAAGACCTACAATGGACCTCCGTACCAGGCTGCACAGGACACAGCTCGCTCTCTATTGAATGCAACCTGGATACAAGCATTCATCCACCATGCCACTCTATCCCAAGGGGGGCTGCAAGTAACAACCAAATAGGGCTACAAAGACAGGAAATTATCCCTTTCACTACCTCTGTGCATTCATTCTCACTTTCAATAGAAGAAAAGATGCTTCAGATTCT